TCGGAGGGAGCCGTCGGGGAGCGGTGGTGGCTCGTTCGCCTCCCGGTTGGGCAACTCCGGGAGGCGGTTGGCAGGGCTGGGCCACCGAAGGGCGAGTTGTAGCCTGCGCTCTGCGGGCTGGGGAGCGCTCCGGAGGGAGGAGAGGGGGAGTTATGTGTGTTGGGGGGGGCGCGGAGGCTCCGCACCCGCGGGTCGGAGCCGGTTCGATGCTCTCAGCGGGGCTACCATCCTCTCCGGGAAGTTTAAGTGGCCCAAAACCGGGTGATAAATAGTTGTGAATCAGTTTTATTGCTTCCACCTCTCGTTCCCACGCCATGTTTGATCTGCGCCTTCCCGGGATCTGGTTATTTACCTGGAAACCTGTTTCTTCACTTTAATTGAGGGGGTTGGAGTTGAATGCTGCGTATTCCTGCAGGATTTATTTGTATTTTCTTTGCGGGTTTAATTGCAATACTGTGCCCTGGAGGCTCATGTAGGAGGGAGCCAAGTTAATAGCAATGGAGCCAGGTAGATAAAAGATAGCAGTTTGTGGATGGAGTTTGGTGGCTGTTGAGATTCCAACGAGCCCCTTCCAAGCTTAAAAATGGGAAGACCCACTCGCTTCCACGGGCGACGTGGGAGCAGTGTCCATGAAAGTGATTGTGAGGTGGTTACACCCTCCAGGCCACGCTGGGGAAACTGAGATAAAACGAAAACGCGACGGAGAGTTTCATGCAACTCTTAAACACGAAAGGAAAATCACTGATTTCTAACTGTCGTAAATCCGAGGAGGATTCAAGCTTCCCTCTGATGTGGTTTGGATTTAAAAAAAAAAAAAGAAAGTCCCTGTGTCTGCTTATTACAAGCCTGATTTCCGTGGCTGCAATTGCAGTACAAAGGCATTCCTTTCAGGTGTGGGGAACTGCTGTGCGGATCAGCTTGCAAAGTAAAAGCCAGGAGTCCTTGAAATCTGAGCGCAAATAAAAGCTGTTGAATCACTCCTTAGCATCCTCTCGGCGTTTATATATATATTTATGTGTAATTTGTGTAGCGTAGTGTGACACACAGAAGCTGAGTGACCGCGGTTGGAGTAGCGTGTGTGAGGTGTGAGCCCGTGGAAGGAGTGGTGTGGTCACAGCTCCGTGGTCCAAGGGCAGGTTCTACCATCTCCTGACTTCCCTGGTGCCACCTTCTTTCCCAGGGAAGCCCCATCCCTGGCCCTGTCTCTCGAGTATTTGCTGCATAGCTTCACGCCGTCGGTGCTGCCAAAAGGAGTCCACTGCTCCTGCTGATCCCCACCTTAGTTTTTTCATACAGAGTAAACACAAGTTAAGCAATGTGGAATGGGTGTAGGTTTGCATGTCACTGACTCAGAGATTCCTGAATATAGTGACTGATGCCGCCTCCTCGCTGTGAGCTGCGGGTACCCCAGCGTCAAACCTGCTACGCCTACTCCAGGTGATGCAACCCTCAAGTAGGAAGAAGTTCCATTGCATGTCTTGTAGGTTGTTTATTTTATTTCCCATGGCTGAGAGGACGCAAATATCTCCAGAACAGGTTGAATGTCAAAAAGTGGCCAAAACGTAGTTGGGGCCAACCGCTTCCGACAGCCTCCGAAGGCGTTTCCCCATCCCTCCTTCCAGGAAACCAAGCTGGCAGAGCACAGGTCTTACTGGTGACAGGCTCTTAGCAGGCAAGTCCTGTTTATCTAGCAAAGAAAACACAACTACAAGCACTTCATTTTACTTTAATTAAATGCATTCGGGTTAGTGATGCTTAGTAATCTAGGATCAAAGACCTTGTGATCTTTAATACAGTTTCTCACTGGGTTTACCTGGTGTCTAGTTTAATATAAAACTCTCATCATTTCAGGTCTCTGAACTAATCTATCGCTGCTCCACAAAGCTGGCTGAATCCAAACTCTGATGTTGCATTAATTCTTGCTGCTTGGTCGCTGAATGTGGGGTCACCTAAGGGTGGTTTCTACAAAAATAATAATAATTTGCTGGCATCTCAGCTGTCTTTGGGAGTCCAGCAGCTCCTCCTCCAGCTTGGGTCTCTCGCAGGCAGGGAGGTGTTCACCTCTTGGTAGGACCACACTAACTGAAGTACAGGCTGATTAGTATTTTGAAAGCTGAAGAAAATGTCCTTTTTTTGTAAAGAATCTCTTGTAGTGGGAGAGTTTGGGATAAGGGAGGGGAAGTCGTGAGTGTAAGGACAGTGGTAGGATGATGGATACTCCTGGGTGTATCCCAGGGCGACTTGTGGTGTAGGTGGTGGGGGAAAGGAAGAGCTGACGTGCTCGCTGGACTCGGTGGCACGTTTCAAGGCTGCGTGGAATTCATCTGCCTCCAAACCCCAAACTGCAGCAGAGGCTGAGGTAGCTCGTGCCCAGCCCCTGGCATGGTCAGGTTCTTCATTCCAGGTGTTCATGCGAGTGGTTTTCTCCTGTGGGAATACACATACACAAACATCTGCTCACTCTTTTTTTTTCCCTCTTACTAAGCTTTGTTTTGAAGGGACCTTCTTGCTTTATCTCTGCCCATCCAAGGAGGGCAGAGACTTAGTGCCAACCAACGCTACGTGCCGTGGCAGCCCATGGTGGGTTGGGGATGCCAGTGTTTGGAGGGCACAGGCTGTCCCTTGGGGCAGCGAGGGATGTGCAGGAGGGAGTGGGGACACTGTCAGGGGCTGGTGGTTTGCAGAGTTTCGGGGACTCCTCTGGTGAGTGCTGCCCGTGGATTTTGGAGGTTTGGAAAGTCAGCCCAGCCCCTCCGCCTGCGTGCGGAGCTTACACAACCCTCACCTTCTGCTCCCTGCACTTGACAGAAACTGTCTGTGCTTCACACTGTAGCATGGGCTGGGGTTCAGGGACTGCTTTCAACTGTCTGTGCTTCACACTGTAGCATGGGCTCGGCTTCAAGGGCTGCTTTCAAATATTTTAAAGCAGAAAAAAAAAAAAAAAGCTGTTTACTTCTTGGTGTTTGTGTTTTGAGGCGGAGGGAGAGGTTGTTTGCTGCTTCTTTCGCACTGAAACCACCCTGGAATTCTGTGAGGTGGGAACGCTCCTGCGGAGTTTTCTCTCTGATCACAGCCGTTTTGCAGCAATTCCCCAATTCCCCCCCTTCCTCAAACCCTCACTTTTCCTTTAATGTTGGTCTCCTTGGCTACGAGTTATTTGTGTATCTCCTTCCAGCCAAGGTGGGGTTTACATGCTTCAGTGCTTCTGCTTGTTAATTCATGCTGTTAATCAGACACAAAGAACGTAATTAAACTAATTTTATGAGCTTTATTCACTGTCAGAAATAAACCGGCCCAAAAGGTGTGGTTCAAGGTAGAAGCCCAGGGCTGGGAACCAGCAGTACCTGGTGGCTCCTCCTGCGTGTAACACCGGGGCTTGGTGGCTGCTTTCTGCTGTGGTGTCTCCATTCATAGTAGGATTTTTTGGGAAGAAATCACTGCTCCTTTCTCCGTAGGGCAGGCTGAAGTGTGACAGTGCAGTGGCCAGCACGACTTGTCCTGCAGTGCCAATCGCAGCAGGGTCGCAGCGTGCAGAAGGATGCTGAGGATGCTGGGGGGGTCCATCCACAGCTGTGACACCTCCCTTGGCTGCTGGCAGCAGAACGTGGAGGGGAAACACCTCCTCGGGGAGCCTCTGCGTGTCCCAGTTCCATGGTGGTGTCTGGGCAGAGCAGGGAGCCATTCCCCTCTGCTTGCCCTGGTCCTGCTTGGCACAAGCCAGGGGTCAGGGATGCCCCCGCTGTCCCTCTCTGCTGCAAAGCCAGGGGTCAGGGATGCCCCCGCTGTCCTTCTCCACTTCATGAGTGATGGACCTGTTGTTGTGATAAGGGCTGAGTGACAGGGACCTGTTGTCGTGATAGGGCTGAGTGAAGAACCTGTAATTAGCTCTGGGTTTTAATGGCAACCTGTGATGGTCAGCAGGGGAAGAAGGATGGGAGCTCTCCCTCTGGTCACCATGGCTGGTGGTCTGACTCTGCTGCTGCCTCCCCCTCGACTCCAGCCCCTGGGGGAGCAGCCGAGGCCAGATCCTGCCCACACATGCAATGGGGTTTGTGTCACCTCTGTGGGCACCAGCCCTGGACCCACCTCCTGCTCTTCTGCAGGTCATAGCCTCCTGGGACTGCAAAGAGCTGATCCTGATGCATATTCCTTCCCTGAACTTAGAGTGGGGAGTGAATTGAGAGCTTGTGCTAACTTTTGACCCTTCTAATGTAAAGTTAAGTTAGCTACAACTAGAAATAAGCCTTTTGGAATAGACTTGACATCTGTGCTCTCTGAACTCCAGTGTCTGGAACTCCAAGAAGGGTCTCTGCACCTTGTGGGCATATGTCAGGGCTGGAGCGCCTGCCCGGGTGTCCCACTTACCTGGGACCTTTCTCCTCCCATCTTCAACTCTGCTCCCAAACGCCCAGATACTCCTCAGAATCAGATGGGGTTTGCCCATCCCTGGGAGATGATACAGGAAATTCTTCACAGAGCTTTTGTTCAGCCTGGAGAAGAGGAGGCTCCAGGGAGACCTTATAGCGGCCTTTCAATACCTGAAGGGTGCCTATAGAAGAGCTGGGGAGGGACTCTTTGCCAGGAAGGGTAATGATAGGACAAGGGGAAACGGTTTTAAATTGGAAGAAAAAAGATTCAGATTAGATCTCGGGAAGAAATTTTTTACTCTGAGGGTGGTGAGACACTGGAACAGGTTGCCCAGGGAAGCTGTGGCTGCCCCATCCCTGGAGGGGTTCAAGGCCAGGCTGGATGGGGCCTTGAGCAACCTGGTCTGGTGGGAGGTGTCCCTGCCCAGGGCAGGGGGGTTGGAACTCGATGATCTTTGAGGTCCCTTCCAACCCAAACCATTCTATGATTCTATGAGGTGACGTCCAGTGTTTTTTTGTTTCCTGTTGCCTCTAACACAGTGCTGCTGCTAACAGTCTTCTCTTCCCCGCAGGTGATGTGATTGAGGTGTACTATGGCGACAATCGCTTTGGGTCGATGACTGACTCTGGCACAGCAACTCTTAAACCTCGTCCAAGAGTCCGGCCGCTGCTGACTTTCTTACCCCTTGTGAGTATCCGTCTGGGATTCGTTACGGCAGCGCATGTAACCGGTGCCCAGAACCAGCTGGGCTGGCTGCTGCTGCTGCCCTCCCCTACCTCAGGGGAGAAATTAAATGGAAAGTAAAACCACTCTGTAATGACGCTGGATACGAGGGATTAGGAGGTGATCTGAGTTCAAGGCTTGTGTTGGACATAGGCAAGATGCTGGGGTGAGAGACGTCAGCATCATCAGTCTTGTATTTTCAATTAAAAAAAAATAAAATTTGCTGAGCGTGTTAGATGATAGATCTAGCTTGCACTGCATTTTATCTAACCGCTGCTGGCGGTATCTCTCCCTGGATCAGGAGAGTTGGTGGAGAGAGCAGTAGCAAAGCTGTGCCCTGTCTACAGCAGGGGAGGAGGAGGCGATGCAGCGGGTGCCTGTGCAGAGCCTGATTTTTCCAACCTCAATATGAGGGAAGCAGTTCCCTGCAGAGCTGCCAGTGCTCCAGGAACAGCCGGATACAGGGGCTGAAGCAGCAAGTGCCAGCTCAGCTGGACCCAGAGGTGGCTTTAACCCAGCTGGGACTCCAGAAACCACACGTGCTCTTTGTTGGCTTGGAGGCTTTGCTGCCGCATGTGCTGAGCAAGCTTTCCTCCTCCACCTAGCACACCTTTGCAAAGGTCTTATCCCCTGAAGAGTACAGCAGAGCGCGTGGTTGCTCAGGGATGCTTTGGAGGTGGCGATAGCTAAAGCTGCAGTGATGCACTCGGGTCACTGAAGGTCAGTGGAGACAGTAAAACACTTAAAAGCCCATGGTCTTGACAAGAAAATCCTCTCTGAGAGCAGGGGGTGTTTTTCCTCGTACATCCTCGTCCTTTAGAGAGGCCATCACCTACAGCAGCAAATGGGCTGGTCTGGTGTCACCCGGGTGCAATTAGGAGTCATGGGGTTGTGCAGGTGTCATTTGGAGGACAGCTGGGCGGGAGAGGGAGTTTATTTACCTATCGGAGAGCATCATTAGGAAGGTATGGGGTTACCCAGGTTCTACAAAGGAGTTGTGCCCTCCGTGATGCCGTCCAGAAGATCACAGTGGGTGAAAAATCTCCCCTGGGCTCCCAGTAACTGTAGGACTGGTGCCTGAGAAACTCCTCTCTGGTAGCACAGGCTTGGGTGTGAAACCACAGCTGGCACCCCATATTACCAGGGGTTTTGAGTCTAGCCTTTTGCGTATTTTTTGAGCTTTCAGATGTTTTACTAGTAGAAGTGTATGTGGTAGAGGAATACACATCGCAGATGTCCCTGGGATAAAGAGTGCCCGCAGAAGCACAGCCAGCCCTGGGGCTTTTTTCCCCTCAGCTGCCCTTGTGAGGGTCCCTCTCGTTGTGCTTCTCTTCCAAGAGTAACAGGTTTAGCTGGAGAAATTAGTAGGAAGGAGCAGCATTTTTTTAAGGACCAGTCTGTGTTGTGTATTTGCATTATTTTGATGAGGTTTGATTATGATGTGACTTGGCACAGACACTTCTGCTGCCACGTACATATTTGCACGGGGCTGTTCTGCAGCTCCTGCCTTAACCCTTTCTTTCCACCCACGTGCTCTTGGGTGCAGGGGGAGGCTGAGGAGCAGTGAGTCAGGAGGATGCACACACCCTGCCCGGCAGCTCTCCACTCCCCCCAGATCAGTGCCTGTCCCCCCAGATCGGTGTCCTGCCCCCAAAACTGCCTGGCCCTCAGCCGCCTGGAGGCATTGGAGGAGAGGGAGCTCGGCTGCCTGCCCCTCGGGTACCACCACCTCCCCCTGCCCACCCCATTTCCTGGGTGCAGGCAAAGCTTTGGCATCCTGGGGGAATAAATTCCTGGAGTTAATAGCCAAACTTCCCTAGCTCTGCTTCAAAACAAGGAGTTTTGGGGGAGCGCTTCAAATTTGGGGAAATCCTTGGCCTCTCTGAGATGCCAGGGTGTAAAGCAGATATATTTTCACACCTTTTTTGTAAGGGGTGGCCTCAAACTTCGCTCATTTTCTCTCACATGAGGAAAGGCTGAGAGAATTGGGTTTGTTCAGCCTTCAGAGAAGAAGGCTTAGGGGAGACCTTAACACCGTGTCCCAGTATTTAAAGGGTGGCTACAGAGCAGATGGACGCTCCCTTTTTATGAGGAGCCACATAGAAAAGACCGGGGGTAATGGGTACAAATTACTCCAGGGGAGATCCCAATTGGACACAAGCAGAATTTTTCACAATGAGAACTATCAGCCACTGGAATAATCTCCCGAGGGAAGTGATGGATTCCCCAACACTGGACACTGTTAGGATTTGGTGGGACAGGGTGCTGGGCCGTCTTGTCTAGACCATGCTTTTACCAAGAAAGGTTGGAACAGATGATCCTTGAGGTCCCTTCCAAGCTGGGATTTGATGATTTAACGGGTGGGAAGCGTGGGCTCCTGAGAGACCGGGATGGGCATTGGGAATGGGGGACATCTAACTCTGTTCCAGCACTGAGAAGTGATTCCTGGTGGTTACAGTGAAAGCTCCCCTTAAAGGGATCCTCGGCAGGAATAAATCTGGTGCAGGTACCACAAACTGGAAATGCCGGTTCCTGGGCACCACCCCAGCCCAGCAGCCTGCTCTGAATCAGCTGGAGCTTTGCTGGGCTGGTCCCACCCCACGAACACAGCAGAGGGGAACAATCTTTGCCGTCATCTCTGGAGGCTGGCAGCGTGCTGGAGATGCTTTCCATTGTCGAGACCAGCCCGTGACGTGAGGGTGGGTGGGTTTGGAGAGAGAGATGCTGAGCGTTAGCAACCGCAACAGAAATTTTTGGGGGTGAAACAGGCTTGCCCAGTTCTTAGGACCTGTTGGAATGACATGTCCAAAGTTACTGCTCGTTTATGAAATGTGGACTCTTGTTTCCTCCAGCTTTGCATAGATTTCTTCCGACTGCCGTTCCCTTGCTACTCCTATCCAGACATGTGATGCATATGGTGCTTTTAACTCTGTGCCCAGACATCTTTGTTTCCCTGTAAATGAGCAGGTATCCTCGGTGTGCTCTGGAGACTGGCAGCAATGAATTTCCTTAGCAAATGAGAACTGCTGGGTTTTCTTCTTTGTGGTTTTTTGGTATGTCATTGCTCTGGACAATTTCATTAGCGGCTCTGGAAGTGCCTGTGTTAGCCTTTGTTTTCCCTCTGGCTTTCAACCGAGTTAAGGATCTTTCCTTTGCGTTGCACAGTATCTTTGGGACCCGTAAGGAGGTCTTACATGAGGCTATAATGCTCACCTTGTCTGATACTAACAGATCTGTTAGATCTTGGCTTCTCCACCAGCACCAAGTTCTCTGATCAGTTGTACAATCCCAGGAGTGTGAATTCCCACTCTGTCTCTCCTGGGCCACCAGTATCTGGCTCATTCCCTTGTGGCTGTAGAGGATCTTTGGTCACCTGCGGGGTGATGGACCTTGCAAGCAAAGCATGTGTTTTTTCTTATTATTTTGTCAAAAGCTGGGGGATTCCAGGGCTCTCCTGAAGGAGCCCAGGCTGCTGCTGCTCAGGTCACCTCTACCCCAGCAGCTCCTGCACTCCCGGGACGGTGTGTGATGTTAATGGGAGCCCTGAATGGGGCTGGCTGCATAAACCCAGCTTGACCTTTGGTCGAGGAGACTTTGGAATCCTACAGCACTCTCTTGTAAAAATCGTGATAATGCCAGTGAAAGGCAAAGGGCAGGGGCTCAATCATTATCTCGGCTTTTGTATGCGGAGAACCCGCACTGAGCGGTGGGGCTGATGGCAGGATAACATTTCCTTTGCACAGGGGGCTGTTAACAGCTAGTGCAAACAGCTGCTGGGGTGAGCAGGAGTGCCAGAGGGTGGGCCCCAGAGCCTGGGAACGGGGCAGTATGTCCCTGACCACTGCCCGTGGGGTCCGGGAGCTCGTGGGGCGTTATTCCCTTGCTGTGGGTCTCTCCCAGCGCAGGTATGCGAAAGCCCAGGTCGCTGACGTCCGTGCTGCCAGCCTGATTCAGCACGGGTTTGCGTTTGGGACGTGGGCGCGTTAGTGTACGTTGTGTGAGCAATTCCAGTCCCTCTGCAGAGCCGTCGTAGCGGTGAGTCACGGGAGGGAAGGAGAGGCTTTCTGCTCCTGGTCAGGGCTGCGGGCGACTCAGCGTGCCAGGAATATCTCCCCATGGGTGGCTGTCATTAGCCACAGCGCCCTGGCTGTGAGCGTCCTTGCAAACGTGTAGGCTGCTAAATTGCATGGTCCTGCGCCACCTAAACGCACTGCTGAGTCTTCAGCACGAATGCAAAGGGAGTAATTGAGAGCGAAGCACAAACCACACAAGTAGCAGTTTTCCCCCAGAGCGTTCAGATCTGCTGGTGCCGGTTTCCCAAAAAGCTGGAAGACTGTCTGGGACTTCGGTGTATATTGGCTGCAGCGTGGGCTGGAGAGCAGAACCCACAAACCCCACGGGAGCTATTAAGTTTGCTTGGTAGGTGAATGGTGAGAAACTGGTGCTGGGGAGCCCTGAGGCTGGAGGTGATGAAGCTGTGCTCCTCACCAGCCCTTCTGCCCCTCATTGGCATGGGGGAGCTGTATCTGTGGCTTGAGGAGCCTTGATCACAAGTGGAGACTCGTCCCCTTCAGCCCTGTCAACAGCAGGTACCACAGGGACCTGAGTGTCTCGGAAACGGCCCCGGATCCCGTCAGGCTCCTGTTTGTGTAGACAAAGTACCAGCTATACAGGCTAGGGCCTGCTTGTCAGCACTCTGCTCTGATACCCTGGGCGTAAAACTAACAGCTCCTATCTCTCAACTATTGCAGAATGCCCAAGAATCCCACGGGGTGGCTGTGCCAACGCCATCAGTGCCAGAAGACTTTGAGGAAAAAGCAGCACTTGGTAAGGAATCTCCTCTGCCAAGTCCGGGACGGTGCTGAGTGCTCAGCAGTACCGTGCCCTTGGGGGAGGAAGCGTGTTCCGAGCTCTGGAGCAGACAGTCTGATCATGAGATTTTCATGCTAAAATAGAGCCTACTACTAATTATTTTTTGAAGTAATTGAAAATTAATTCATTTCTACGGGGTGAGGCATAGTGGCTGTTACAGTTCAGCAAGCTTTAGACAGCTGCTGAGCAAAATAAACTGGCTTCCTAGGAGGCTAGCTGGCCAGGGTGGTGCTGGCCGTCGTGGTGCTGCTGGAGAAGGTGCTCACACCATCGTGCTCTTGCTCTTCTTCCAGGCTCTGGCTCCCAGATCAATGGGAACTACCGAATGTACAGCTCGGTGGGGGACCTGCGCCCACAGGCTCTTGAGGGGGATGACCTGGATGAAGACATCCCTCCACCACCATCAGTACCCCCACCACCCCCTCCAACAGCACCAGCACCTGCACCACCGCCTGCAGCCTCGCCGGTCCCTCCACCACCCGATACGCTGCCTCCACCACCACCGCCACCACCTGAGGTGGTGCCACCACCTCCTGCCATGGCACCTCCGCCACCTCCAGCCTCTGCCCTGTCCTCCCCTGGCACACCGGCTCCTCCAGACTTCATCCCACCAGCCCCACCGGGTGCCTCTCAGCTTGGCCAGGCCTCAGCACCCTTCACCACCAGCATCTCCAAGTGGAAGTCCGAGACTGTGCTGAACACCAGGCAGGCGGATGCCGAGGGGCCGCTCTGCCCGGCCGAGGCTGGGGTGCCGGCTGCCCCCAGCCCGAAGGAGAGTCTGCAGCCCAAGCACTGTCCCGAGCCCCACCTCACCTTCCCCAGGTCCTTCAAGGTGCCTCCTCCAGCCCCAGCCCGGACCTCCTCCATCCCTGTGCAGGACAGCCAGCCCACCCGGCAGGAACCTTCCTTCCCCAAGCAGCCTCATGCCCGGCCTCCCCTCCCGCCGTGCTTCACCATAAGACCCGCGGCCAAGGCTCATGCTGGAGGAGATGCTGAGCAGAGAAATTCCCCTCTCAGACAGGCCCTCGCGAAGCCGGCTGTGCCGACACCCCCACCACTGAGCCCCAAGCCGGGTCCAGGGCTCAGCCAAGGCACGAATCCTGCCGGTCGCCGGTCCCCGCTGCCAGGCTCCGAGACGGAGAAGGTTCCCCAACCAAAAACAGCCGAGAAAGACCCTCCTCCGAAATCTGAATCTCTCTCTGCGAACGACCTGGAGCTTCCCCCTCCAGACTACCCCACCAGTGAGGACGACTGGAGGGACGCCAGCAACCTGAGCAGGCTGCGGCACGAGCTCTCGGCTCTCCTGCGCTCCCCACGCAGGGAGGAGAGGCCGGTGGAGAAGCCGGCAGCTCCCCAGCCCACGGATGGTGGCACCGACCGCCCCGGCAGCCATGAGCCCAGTCTGAATGGGCACCAACCGGCTGGACCTGCTGGGAAGGACACACAGGTACCCGCGGGAGGAGAGACCAAGAAAAAAGAGGTGCCTGGCAGCCCCCCCAGTGCCAAAGGGGGCTCTCCCAGTGCAGCGCTCCCCGCTCCAGAGAGCAGCCCTGCGCCTCAGACCCGCAGCGTGTTGAAGATCAGGAACGAGCTGGAGGCTGTGCTGAATATGAAGAAAGAAGGGAAACCTGCCATGGGGCTCGGCAGCCAGAAGCAGGGCACTGAGGATGGCAGCAGCACCCCTTGCATGAAGAAGAGCCCCCCTGACTCAAGGAAGAGCCCCCCTGACTCAAGGAAGAGCCCCCCTGACTCAAGGAAGAGCCCCCCTGACCCAGGTGACTTGGTGGTGCCAAAACCAGCCCCAAGCCCCCTCCCAGCACCAGGGGCTGCAGTGGAGAAGGATGAGACGGGGCTCAAGGATCATCCCACTCCTGCCGCTAGCAAGGCCACAGAGAACTGGACCCCTGCTCCTGGGTCCCTCAACAGCAGCACAAACCCCCCAGACCCACCTCAGGCACCGGCAGAGAAGCCCCCTGCTCCCACATCCCCCTCGCCCCCCACTCCTCCCACAGAGAGCCCAGCCCCGCAGCCCAACGCGGCCGTCTTCCAGTACAAAGTGCACCGGGCTGGGACCAGCTCAGCAGAAACACCGTGTGCCTTGGGCTCGGCCGAACCTCCCTGCCCCACCAGCACGGCCAGGAGCCCGCCGGCCACCTCGGGAGCGGGGCAGGAGGAGGTGCTGATCCACCCTGTGACGGGCGAGCGGGTGGAGCGGGGGTCCCCCATGGCACTGCTCCTGGCCGCCCGGCAGCGTGCCCAGCGGGGCCGGCAGGGTGGCGAGGTGGGAGCCGCGCTGCGGGCCAAGTCCCCCCTGAAACTCAACAGTGCCTCATCAGACACCACCTCCACCAGCTTCTACCGCCACGAGTCCAAGCCCTACTCCTTCACCGTGGTGCCTCGCCCGCCTATGGTGGGTACAACAGGGTCGGGATGGAGCAAACCTCCCTCCT